TGTGGTGCACCCTGGGAAACGCATACTCATACGGCAAAAACGCCTATTAACTGGCAGTTGACTTCTGATTTAAAACTTCCATTACCCCACTGTGTTCGACTACTTCACAGTACTCACCTCACCTTTTTTCTACCTTTGTCTTTGAAACACTTCTGTCCCCCCCCCAACCCCTCTCGACATTTTTCACTTTGATGTTCCTTCGCCTCTGTGACGCCATTACTATCAAATAGCCTGCCATTTGGTATAAATCAATATGTCCGTATAAACTAAAATTACCTATATCGGGGTTTTGTCTCAACGTATTGAATATTTCAACCACATCTTGTAAGAAATATAGTAATACTTATAGATTTCAAAATAATCCTGCCTATGCGACATGGAAATTGTCCACGAAACCTTGTTTTTTGTAATGGGCTTATCTCATTTTTCTCCACACGGCATATTTAATCATTATGTAGCCTACCTAAAAATCATTTCTCTCCCACTAAGTTCTATATCATTATGTTCTTGTTATTTAGGTTAAATTTAATTGAGCTTCTTTCATTATTTTAAACTCACTAACTACTAAATGAAAACCTTATCTTTCGTATCTCCAGATAAGGTTTTCACTTTAATCTATCTGTCTAGTTCAAATTTTTTTCCTGTAGTGAGATGCATGCTTTCAAACAAGATGGATATTTTAACAAATATTAGTCGATTCTATTGGCCGCTTACCCTAGCCCTTTCAATGCTATTCTGTCTTAATTACTGTATATCATCTTTCTCCCCCACCAAAAAAATATTAAAAGTTCAAAAGGTACTCATTAATTTCTCATCACTCACTAATCCCCAGCCAAAATTTCGTTCAGTTATTCTTAGCTAACTCGCTCAAATATGGGATTACTTTGCTATCAGGACTCATAGAACCCCAAGCATGCAAAGATACTCAGTTCTAGAATAAAAAGTTGCTTACATTTATCTGCATATAGTTTTTACCTGAAGAAGGATTTGAAGTATAAGTGAAGTTGTAGGGGCCGGGGGGGTGGGGGGGGGNGGGGAGGTTGGGTAAGCGTAGATGTGTAAATCGGAAAGAAAAAGAGCTCTACAGTATATTGTTGTCCTTATAAATATTGCTGATCAGGGGCAGAGAAAAGAAGGAAACATGGTCTGTGGTAGGTTTAGGTCGTTGTCTCCTCGTTTTGCTAGCCCAATGTCTATATACATTCGAAGTGTTTTACCCTGTTTTGTTAGAATATTGGCAGCCCTTGCGTTGGTTTTAGAAATCACAGAACACTTCTTCAGAAGTGGGAAGTTGGCGGGGGGGGGCATTAAGGCATCAATTGGGAAATGCGTTCGGAAGATCACACGGTGATGGGTCGAGGTCAGGGGGCCAATAAGAGTTAGTGATGTTTTTTCTTTCATAAGATTGCAAAGATGCTACATGCATATACACTGTATTACCGAATTGTTTGAAACAAAAAAAAAGTAAAATATACCGAAATCCAGCAAAAAGTCGGTCATAGTTTTTGCTCTTCCCTCTATGTCTGTAGGTGACTACCACTATCTTGTCCACTGGATGGACTCACACAAAGGAAACGTCGATTTTGGTGGTCTTGGTTCCCTATAGGCTCCCCTGTCATGAAAGGGTTGCCTGATGGGTCAATCCCCATATCAGTGGTGCAGGCACTAGAATCTCCAGATTGTGGATATCCAGGATAAGAAACACCTTTAACACCTTGAGGATAACGTTGGAAGTCCACACTTGGAACATGGCCGTTCATGTATGCTGGAGGACCATATGTGGAGATGGGCGGAGAGGCATAAGGAGGTCTCATCGGGACGCCATCAGCAGATAGATAGGCACACTCAGTGTTCGGACTTGGGTAGATATAGGAAGAAGGTTGGACATGACCTGGGGAGAATTGGGTTGTGGGTATTTGACTAGTGCTGGTATTGGTAGTACTATTCATCGGAGAAGGACGCATCTGCATATGACAAGGACCAACAGGAGGCACTTTTGATGATACTGTAGATCTCCCCTGTCGCTGGGGGCTCCCACTTCGTGTGAAGGTCATTGACGCGCTACCCGCAATGGAGCTTTGATCAAGGAAACGGTGGGATGAATTTAGTGACGGTTTTTCTCCCCCACCTCCACTCAAATTTTGGGTAATGAAGAAGGGCTTTTGGCCGTTTCGTTGACTGCGCTGTCGATTTTGACGACTTCTGTTGCGAACTATTAAAGAGGCTACTGCCCCTATGCATATAAGAAACACACAGATGGGAACGGCGATGTAGATGGTCAAGTGGCGTGGTGATGTTTCTTGAACGTCACCCATTCCTTCTATTATTTTATCACCATCTAAAAGAAAGCAAATATAGCATGCTCTTTCAATAATATGCAACAATTTTTTGTTATATAAGGCCTTACCAGGCCTATTAGAAATGCAAATGAAAGAAGCTCCGGGTAAAGGATACTCCCATCAACAACTTTTCCAATTTTGTTCCCAGTAATTTAGGTAATACTTTACTCAGTATTCTTATTGTATTCATTATATTTTAGTAAACCTCATTTAGTGGGTGTTTAACGAATAAGCTAAAACGATATCCTTATATCAATTCTTGTCAACTAGGATGTCAAAGTGTCAACATTTATGCTTTTCGATATTTATCTTGATTTTAAAAGCTTTAGTTAGTAAATAGCTAAAAGCAACACAAATATTAAAGCACGAATAAATAGTGAAACAGCGATATTTATGCAATTATTCCAATAAGCTAAAACTCCAACGACCATTTTAGGGTAAGGTTTGAAAGCTTAGATTTCCGTGGATACGCTCTCTATCAATCAATTAAGTTCCATTTCCATTGTAAAAGGACGAACCTTTAAGGGATATGTGCACGAATTTGTGATCGTCTCGTCCAGACTCTGTGATGACAGAGCAAATATAGAGACCAGCATCACGTGGGGATGCCGATCGAAGAACAAGTCTACTTTTCCTAGAACCAGGATTGCTAACAGCCAGAGGTTTGGAGATGTCAAAGAATTGCTGGAGGTCCTGTGGTAAGATTGTCGGTAGCACTACATAAGTTCCACCTGACCAGTGAAGAACTTCATTGGTTCGGATGTCACTTGCTCCAGGCTCATCTAGAGAGATGTACTTTCCCCACTAAAAGGGAAGATAGAAAGACTCTTAATAAAGAATATTCCAGAAAAAGGAAAGTCATCTATATTTTCATGCAGGTGTCTTACACGTATAGTTGCAGATCTGTGCTCTTCCGCGTTTATTTCACAGGAGAACGTTGCATCCCGTCCTAATTCAACGGTGGCTGTCACATTATGAGGACCTTGGATTATATCACCTTCTGATCTTGCTATAAGAAAATCAATTTGCTTTACTCAAAATGGTGTTCTCGCCGGTGAGTAATAGTTAAATTCAGGTTTATCCTTCCAATAGACCTGCATGTCAATTAGACTCCCCAAAATATTTCTTATTTCCACCTTTGGTGCCTAGTTTATAGCCCTACCCATCCAATCCTAACAATAGCTTTGTTGCAAATTAATAACCACTATACTCCCTACTGTCCAATGACCGCAATACTTTTTTACACCAAACTACAAACTAAGGAATCATCTTTTTGTGCCCCCAATTACAATTTTTTGCCATAGTGTGTGTTTTTTATCTAGTTTCTAACTTAGGGCAATTGGCTATATCAAATTAAAACAAATTATTTACCATTTGGTTGTGTGCATGGAAATTTAATTACTTCAGTCAAACAAATTCAAGGACAGAATTGGGAGGAAAATGGGCATTAATTTACTATTTCAAAGTAGGTGTGCTACTTCGCGGAAGGCTGGAATGCACAGGACTGAAGAATTAATAGTTATTCAAAATTCCAAATGGCCCCTTATTCCGGCGACATTAGGTTTATGTTTGAGAGCAAGAAGAAAAACAGAGGAGGTGTCTGATAGGGTAAACTTGTATACACGGAAACATTTCACACGCATTAGCAAAAACTGTCATAAATGCATGTGTTGCAAGCCAAATAGATCACAATTATTGGAAAATTCGGCCCTGAAAGCATCACCATGACAGTTGTGTTCGCGTCAACAATTTGTTTTTCTTCCTCTTTCCATGTTTTTATTGCAAGGATTATCGTGGGAATCCATCTTAAGTGCAAAATGATTATATATTCCTAGACACACATTTCAAATTTATTTAATAATGGATACGTAGGTGCCTGTGTTTTGCACAAGTTGATCAAGGGAAAACTAGCGTTGAAGGTCTTCAAGCTGATGGAAGAGAGGAGAGGAGAGAAATACGGTCTGGGAAAATTTTGGCACTTTATTTTTACCTGTTCAAATTAAATCAGAGGATTCATGAGGGTCATTTCATGTCATTATCGGTATTCTAAATTGCCTTTAGTTGCCTAAAGATGGATTCGCATCTGTGAGATTGCCATGAGGGACAATGAAAATCCGCGAATTCACGGTTTCATCGCATTTGTCTTTTATACGATTTGGAGCACCGAGAACTTGAACTTTGAACTTGATATCGGTGGCTTTTCTAATATTATCTAATCGATATTGCAATTGCATTATTTTCCTTTCCTTGAACAATCGTCAACAATTAATAATTTTTTCGCACAAAAAATTTTGCGAACTTTGCCCTCAAACTTTCCAACCCATCTCAACAATTAAAAAGTAAAGTTAATACTCTATCAATTACCATAATTAATAATTGGAAATAATACTTATTTAGGTCAACAATGAATCGAACTAATATTATCAATACTAATTAGGGGAGGATTTTAAAATTCTGAAATAGATCAAACAACGCTATTGTCCACTAAGGTACTTATTAGGTATTAATAAAATAAATATCTTAATTTATTCAACAAATACTATTTATTCTTTCACTTTTTTCTCTAAACGAGGACGTTAATGCATGAGAAGGCATTTGCGGTTGAAAAGAGGACACTTAGACCATGGGAATCAAGTCGAGTAATCTGAAATGCGCTCCATTTAATGGCCATTTAGAATACTTAGTCAGCAGGCTAAGTGTATACATTTTTTTTAAATTTAGTAGAAAAAAAGGTTATAGATACATAATACCTACACCTTTATATTCGTTGTTAAGGGGTGTGCGATTGCGTTCGTTCAGTTAGCAATTTGGCTATCGAGTTTGCTTATAGTCTTGCCGTGGTATTAACCTTGACGAGTTGTCCAAATAGAGGTTGAAAAAACTGACTATTATTCAAGGGTTTGGGGACAAATAATAATCATCTTAATTTGCATCTTATCGTTAATTAGATTGCTTTGAATTAATAGTGGGTTAAATTTTGTTATTAAAGCATTCTTAGCATTTATTGTAGAGCAAAAAATCAATTGATTAAAAGAGTGGCAAATCAGATTTTTATCATTCCAGGAAGTATGAAGTGGCAGGTGAGAGGGCAATAACAATAGCTTCGGTGTGTCTGTGTGTGTGTGTGTGTGTGTGTGGAAATTCTAACTAATTTTTGCTAGACTGCATCAACTTGCTGTCTACTTTTTGCCCTTGTTGCGAACGGTAGTCTTCCAGTGGCGAAAAAGGCGAAGTGGTGTCTAGGATTTTCCAAATACAGATAGAATGCGAAAAAAATCACATCTTGGAAAAACTGTCGGTGGTGGGGATGAGGAGAAACATGCACTATTGCCTCCTTCTTCTCCTATCTTTATCTGTTTCGTTCATAAAAACTGAGAAAAATTTTGCCCCCCCCCCTCTCCCACCCCCTCTCCCCCCCTCTCCCCCCCCATATACGTATGTAAATGTGCGTCTGTGTGTGGAAGGTTAAATGTGAATTGTTTTACAGTTGACATTAGCTAAGATAAACACAATTCTCTGGGTTATCCAACACTTCTTTTTACTTTCAAGGACGAGTGATAGGATATACGTCTACAACATTATTGATTAATTTGTTGAAATCTTAAATAAAAATTTCCGAGAATACTTACGCTGAACACGGATTCGAAAGGTTCTAGAAAGCTTTCCGATAGTTGGAGATCCAGGCAGGTCGCCAAGTTTTGTATCCACGTGAACTGTGCATCGGTACTCACCAGCATGAGCCAAAGTAATCTTTCGAATTCGAAGTGTAGACCCAGTAAATCTGGCGACGGTTTCAGTTGGACTCAAGTCTGCGACCCCATCCTTTTTAGTGGACGTCATGCGCGGTGCACGACCTTCTCTTTCACCAGGATAGAAGGGAGAAAATGAGGAATCGGATTGTACAGCAGAGGATGCTGATGATAAAACTGTACTTTTCAAGTGCGGTAGGCCCGCTGGAACAGCACTAGGAGGTTCCATGGAATTTAACGGATGGAAATTCCAAGTGTAAGTCATACGCTCAGCCAAATCTTCCGTTGCTGCACTCTCACAGTCCAAATTGACATCCTCACCCCAGGCTTCGAGTTGTGACAACTCAGGCTCAGAGTAAGTATTGAGAAAGCACGGACCTGCAACCAGAGTAATATGGTGTTTCATCAAAATTTAATTATCTACGATAAGCTTTACCTAGTATTATAGGAAATCTTGGAAAAACAAGTGCCGCAGATAAGAATATGTCGACATTCCTTAATTCACAAAATATTTTGTGCTAATTGTTGTGCAGGATTGTTTTCTTTCCTGGATTATTCAAACTCTTGATTTCTGCATCAATCGTCCCATTGATTATTGAATATATTGATTAATTGGTTTTTATTTTATTGAACTAAGGTGATTTCAAAAGTGGTTAAATTAAGTACTTACATTATATATCATTTGTTATCACTACTTTACCTCGTTAACCAATTTAAACAAAATAATGAAGTTATCGTGAAAAAAAACCCAGACAAATACAATTAAATTAAAATTTTCTGGCTTAAATACCTATCAAAATATCACACCAAAGTATTTTACATTTGTTAAGTCAATTTCATATCTCCAGTATACTGTACGCTTGTTTTTTTTTATTTCACCAGTAGCGCTGTATTTTGACAGTCAAATAAAATGGAGGTGGTGAAGAGAGAGGGAGGGAGGGAGTAAAAATAGAGGAAATTTTCTGCATGGTCAAAATGGTAATTCCTTTCCCCAACCCCACCCCCCCCCCTTAAATAGAGCAGAAATCTAGTTGTGGTGG